AGAAGATGCTGGTGTAGGCAGGATATGGACCACTTAGGTGCTGAGGGTGGGGAGAAGACAGCAGACACCGAAAATTAACCCTGAACTCAGAACTGAAGGTGGGAGAGGCCTGATTATCGAGATGTGGGACATCTTGGTATGGGGAAAAAAAACCTTTCAGAAATTCAGAGAAGCATGGGAAGATTTATATGAATGGATGCAGAACCAGGAAAACAATATAAATAATGAGCACAACAATGTAAATGAGAATAACCCAAATCCAACTGAACATTATGTAATTATGATGACCAAGCTTGGAATGAGAAAAATGTACCTCCCTCCCTTCTTTGCAGAGTTGAGTGACTTTGGGTGTGAAACATGGCATCTACCCTCAGACTCAAGTGACAAATTGGTTAGCTTTGCTGAACTGCTCTCTCTTCTCCCTGCCCATTTAAAATTTTTGTTACAATGAATTACTGGGCAGGGATTTATTCAGAAATGAAGGTGATATAAGAAAAAATCAATTAAATTAAAAGAAAATTTAAAAAGAGAAATGCCTTTAGAAATGACATTGGGAACAGTTTTTTGAACTATAATACAAATAAATGACCATGGGATTCTGGAGCCAAGGAGCTGGTCTCCTAGGAAGGGGAATGACTGCCATCTTCTGGGAGATGAGGAGAATTGCAGGAGGTGTGAGCCACAGCCCTTGAAAAGCAGAACAGCAGAGAATGTTTTCTAGTGGAGGCTGTGATGGGAGCCAGCCGCCAGTGACATATATGAGCTGAGAGCTACTAGAAGGGAAGGAAGGGATGGTAGGGAGGACATGTGTGCCACCGAAGCAGCCAAAGAAGCAATGGGATGAAGTAACACCACAGAGGAATGACCTCTGGGTATCACCTGTACTGTAAGTCAGAGGTGTCCAATTCAAATAGAAACCTACATCCTTGCAGGCTGCATATTGACTTAGAAAACCACAAATTAATATTGTCTACGTTGCATTGTATTTTTATTATTTTGCTGAACATTTCCTGATTATATTTTAATCTGGCTGGCTCCACTTGGGAGTTATGGGTGGCATGTAGCTACAGGGTATGATTTTAATACTTCTACATAAGTGATTGAAGCAGGTATTGTCATTTTCCAGTGGCTCTGACCCAAGCACCATTTGTTTTCCTTAAAGACTTGTGAACTTAGACCCTTGTAAAGTGAGTTGGTGATCACAACCTGGGGATATATACCGTATTGAAGTTTCTGTATTATCAGGATAGGGGCAACAAGGTAGAATACGTCTTCAAAGTGTACAGAGGCTCATTCCATCAGGAAGGAGACAAAAAAGAGAAGGGGAAGAAGCATTTATTAAGCACCTACTATGTGTCAGGCACTGTGCTAAGGGCCTTACAAATATTATCTCATTTGATTCTTACAACTATAATCTCATTTTACACTTGAGGAAACTGAAGCAGACAAGTCAAGTAACTTGTCCAAGGTTCTACAGCCAGGAAGAGTCTAAGGCTAGATTTGAACTCAGGTCCTCCTGACTATAGGCCCAGCAGTCTATCCACTGCACTACTTAGCTGCAACAAGTGTTACCTAAAAAAAATCTCCTAATCATTAGAGTTGTCCAAAAGTATAATGAGATGTCTTGGTGAAGTAGTTTTTCAAAATTGAAATCATCAAGTTGAGACTGGTTAGCCGCTTGTCAAGAGTGTTGTAGAGGAGATTCCTGGTCACGTACAAGTTGGACCTTCGGAGTTTTCTCTAACTATAAAAATCTATAGAAGAGGCCAGAAGATGATTTCTGAAGGGACCTTTAAGCCATTTTACACCTCAGCCCTTGGGTCCCTTGGGCAGCAGTGAACCTGTGTTAAAGGTATACCTCTGCCATAACAACTCCTCTTCCAATAAGGTTTACCTCATCCATCCGTGGAAGCCATCACAAATCTAAACTTTAGTATAGTAAAGGCATGAGATGGTGAGAGGGGTGGGTTGCATGTCCCGGACTCAGATATTGGAACCTGAGTGCTTGGAACAAATGCAGAGTGGCTCCTTGAACAGGATTTCAGTCCAGCCCTGGCGTCTTTGTCTTTCCTTTCATTTTTGTCTTCCTCTGCTCTTGGAATCTCAGAACCTGGACATCTGAGACTCAATACCCAGATATTAGAGACGTACGGAAGGTTAGAGTCTCCATCAACTGGTCATTCCCCCATGTGATGGTGGACATAGTCCCTGCTCCTGCCTCCTCTTCTCATTCCTGTGATTCAGAGTCAACACTTGCTGAGGTGAAAATCCTCTCTTCCTTTTATTTCTGCATGTCCTCTCATTCCTATCTCCACCTTCATTGATTCCGATCTTCCACGGTTTACATTCTCCTTTGTCCTCCTGTTAATGTTTACCTTTCAGTCTCTTCACTTCACATTATCCATCTCTTTGCACTAATTTCCCCTCATTTTCCCCATAAGATGTTGCACCTTTGACCATCATCTCCAGTACCGGGTGCTCCTTCCTACATGCCCCAGAAGTACTAGGCTTAGGAGAAAAGTTAGACATATTTCTTGTTCCTCAGTCCCACTTTCAGACTGTTCTTTTGTCATGATTATTTGGCAATTTCTCTTCCTTTGAAGAGCTCAAAGCTCCCTTTCCTGGAACTCTGGGCTTTTGAATAGTTCCCAGACCTACCACACCATCTTCGTGTCAAGCTGTTGGTATGCATTCCTCCTCCCTCCTCCTTCCCTTTTCAACTCTACTTCTGAGAATAGTAATCATATTAACAGCCATTTCTGGAAAGGAAGTGTCAATCAATTGCCCTATGACTCCAATCTATGTTCCCTTGGACTTCTCTTCCTTTGACTATCCTTCTCTGGGCACCCCTCCCTTCCTTATGTTTTCTTCCTCTATTAGAATGGAAGCTCCTTGAAGGTAGGAATTGTATTTCATTTTTGTGTTTGTATCCCCAGAGCTTAGTACAATGCCTGACACATTGTAAGCACTTAATAAATGCTTTTACATTCATTCATTAATTTGAGTTTCACTCAATCCACATTTGTCACCTGGTTCAATTCCTTGCCCCAGTCATTTACTGACCCCAGTCTACTCTCCTTTCTTTCTCAAGGAGTTCATACCTGCCACCTTAACCCCTGTCTTCGTAGTTAGGCACTTCAATATACAAGTTCATATCCCCTTGAACATCCTGGATTTTCAGTGCATCAGCCTTCTAAAATCCCATGTCCTCCATCTCAACACAGCCACAGTACAGATAGAGAACCTATAACTATTCCATCTCCATTGACCAGAAATCCAAATATCCTCTCTCTGAACAAAATCTCCTACCTTTAAACCTCTCCCTCTAACTCTTCCTAAACCTATTCTTTATCTTGTTTAACTAGTTCAACTGTCCACTCTAAGCTCTCCTTGAATCCCTCCCCCATCCCAGTCTTACTAACCCCCAATCTCGGGAAACTCCAACCTTGCATTACCCTTACCATCTGCTCTCTGTTCCTGTGCTCTTGGAAAAAGTCATGCAACTGGGTTCACTATAAAAGTTGTATTACTTAACCATAACTGAGTCCTCAGCACTAGATGGCAATTCTTTTATCCTTCCCAAATTGACTCTTTGTTTTAAAAATTAACTTTTTAAAATTAATGAAAATGTACCCTCTCTCCCTTCCACCTCCTCCCCTCATTGAGAAAGAAAGAAAAACAACCCCTCTGTTATAAACACCTATAGTCAAGCAAAACAAATTCCTGCACTGACATGTCCAAAAACAAGTCTCAATGAGTCTGTCACCTTTCTGTCAAGAGCTGAGTAGTATGTTTCATCATGATTTGAGTCTTTTAATTGTTCATCTTTACAATGTTGTTATTGTAATTGTCATTTCTCTAATTATTAGTGATTTAGAATGTGGTTTTTTTTCCTAGTATGGCTATTGATAGCTTGGTTTTTCTTTCTCTGAAAACTGCCATTTGTAGTCTTTGGTTATTGTTAATCAAAGGATGGCTCTTACTCTCATAAATTTGAGTTCCTTGTATATTATAGAAATGAGACTTTGATTAGAGAAATTTGCTGAAAAGATTTTCCCCCCATTTACCTGCTTCTTTTCTAATGTTAGCTGCATTGGTTTTGTTTGTGTAAAAACTTCTTATTTTGTGTGACCACACTTGTTCATTTTACCTTCTGTCTCTTGTTTGGTCATGAAATCTTCTTTTATCATTAGGTCTAACAGGTATTTTCCTCCTTGCTCCTCTGATTTGTTTATAATGTCACACCCTTTATGTCTAAGCCATGTAGCCTATCTTGTTATATGATGTGTGATGTTAGACCTACTATCTCTGTCCCTCTCTTGAAATTACTTTGTATGTACTTTGTATTTGCTTATCTGTGTTCATCTTATGTCTCCCTTGCTCCTGGAGGATAAGGACTGTGCTTAATAAATGTATGTTGAATTGAATGGTCTAAACCAGAGGTTTAGTTCTGTTCTGTGAAGTTTGGATTCAGTCAAAGGGCTGCACTTGAGGACCTAGGGGGCCACGTGTGGCCTTGAGGCCTCAGGTTCCCTGCCCCTGGTCTAAACTTCTTTCCCATTTTTAATTCTCCCCACTGTCGTACATATGAGGAAAGTGAATCTCAGAGGAAGGAAAGGACTTGCCCAAGGTCATGCAATTACAGATCCAGAATTTGAACCCAGGTTTCCTGACTCTAAGCCTAGTGGTCTTGCCAGTATATCACAGGGATCAAGAGAAAAATACTTTATATACCTTAAAATGCTATAGGAATAGGAGTTATCATTACTTATCACCTTATTCGAAAACCTAACATGTCTCTGGTCTGGGTGGTCTATAGCTTTCTTCCACACAGCTCATCCACCATCCTCATCAAATTATTTGCAGCTGTCCGGCTCCAGCCTCCATAACCCTGCACAGTCCTCTTAGCACCCCATCTCCTGCATTTAGGATTTTCTGCCAGATCTGGGTCTCCTGGCTCCTAATCTCATGTTTTCTGAGTCCCAGCCCAACCAACCTACCACAGAACAGGAGACAGAGCAGAGCGATGGGGAGATGCCAGCCTTCCATAGCACGCAGTCCCAGGCGCCCCAGGCTGTTTTCTGCTCCCGTGACCCTTTCCAGACTTTGGACTCCTCTGGCTCCTCTGGCCCATGTGATCTGACCCAGGCAGGAACACCCTGAGGAGGCCAGCAGCAACCAGGAGATCCTCAGTTAGTTACACATTGACAAGCCCAAGCCTCAGCCGGGCTCTGAGGACCAAGTCCTTCTATTCTCATTCCTGGACAAAAGGAAGACCTGGGAGGTCGGATGACCTGGATTCAGGTGTTGCTTCTTCTATAAACTGGCTCTGAGACCCTGAATCACTCAAACTCTGGAGCCTCTACAACCCTCTCTGAGGCTGTAAATTGCAAAGTAGCTGCCAAAGACCCTAATTCCTCACTGGGGGCTCACTCCACTGATGCAATGGTAATGAGGATGAGGGTAATAATTAACATTTGTATGATGCTTTAAGGTTTGCAAAACCCTTTATTGCATATTATCTCAGTTGACTTTCACAACAGCTCTGGGAGGGAAGTCATATTATCTCCATTTTACGATGAGAAAATTGAGGCCCACAGAGATTAAGTGATTTGCCCAGGGTCACACAGATAATAAGTGTCTGAGGCAGCTTTTGAACCGAGGTCTTCCTCATTTGTAAAAGAAGGATAATTCTTGTAACACCTATCTAGTAGGGTTGTTGAGGGCTTTGTAAAGCATAAAGTGGTTAAGTATGAATTTATTATTAGTAGTAATTCTAAATGAGTAGGTAGGGAAAGAGAAAAAGAAAGGGAAAAGAGATACAATTTGAATTGGGATCTTGACCGCTTTTGTAACAGCTAATGAAAGCACTGGGAGAACCCATTTACTGAAACCAGACACAAAGCAGAAATGCTCGACAAGCTGAAAATGTGGGGAGGCGCGTTACATTTCCCTAGCCTGATAAATTCAGTAAGCCCAAACCTATGTAGGCAGAACTTCTTTATAATTAAAAAGAGACCATTCCGGGTATTGCCTTTGTCAGACTGTGCTAGTCTCCCTTTCGCACCTCTCCCGGGAGAGTTGGAAGGAACAGTGACTTTGGAGTCAGACAACCTGGGGACAAAGCCTCCTCCCGTTACCCGCTACCTGTGTGACCTGGAACAAATCGCTTCACTTCTCGTGGGTTCAGTTCCCTCATTTGCTAAATGAAGGGGTTGGACGAGATGACCTCTCCGAGGTCCCCTCCAAGGCTATACAGTCTGGGCTCTTATGAATAAAGCGGAGTAATTAAAGGTTGCGTCTTTACAAAAGCAGTTGAAAGAAACAATTCTGTGATTTAGGCATTCTCTGAGCACCTCAATTCCCATTGAATAGAGCTGCTAATGACTATAGGCATAGAGTTTAAAAATATTTTCTCACTCTTCTCTCTGATTCTTTGGTAGCATTTTTCAGAATGTAAAATTGAAGGGAGTAGTTTTGACTGACTGGGGGGTATTTAACCTATCTGGGTCTCAACTTTCCCATTCTTATAATGCAGTGGACCAGACTAGACCATCTCTAAGGTCTCTTTGGACTCTCAATAGTCTAAGATTAAATTGTGATATATTTGTTATAATTGAATAGTCTTATATGAAAATTTGCCTTTTTGTGCTAGACATTTGAAGCTATTGACCTTAAGCCTAAGAACAATTTTTCATCAGAAGCTCAATGGCCATTTGTCAGATGCTATCAAGATCATTCCTGTTTGAGTATGGTTTGGACCAGATGCCTCTGAGGTCCCCTTCAGTTCTGAGATGCTAGGTGGAAGGGGGATTAGATTTACTCTATGGGGCTCAAAAAGGTAGAATTAAGAGCAATGCGTGGAAGTTAGAGGCAGCTAGATATTGTGGTGGATAGAGTGCTGGGCCTAGAGGCAGGAAGAGCTGAGACAATTGTTAGATGTGTGACTCTAAGTCACTTAACTTCTGTCTGTCTCAGTTTCCTCAACTGTAAAATGGGAATCATAATAGCCCTTCCCTCCCTGGATTGTTGGGAGAATCAAATGAGATAACATTTCTAAAGTTTAGCACAGTTCCCAACGTGCAGTTGGCAGTATGTAAATGCTAGCTAGAATTATTACTAATATTAAGTTACCTTGGTATAGATTTAGGCTCAATAGAAGGAAAAAATTCCTAACAATCTGAGTTGTCCTTGATGAGGAAAAGGGTTGCCTTGTGATGTAGTGAGTGAGCCCCTCATCGCCTAGAACGTTAAACTTTAAATTTTTTTCATGTATTTTTTTTTTATCCTGAGTTTAACAAACATCAAATAAAAGGAGTATTTCCATACGCACTATAGAATAGGAGAGGATTGTAATGTAACTGCAAATCTTTATTATGTACAGCTTGCTTTTCAAGTATACAGTTAGGGGCAGCTAGGTGGCGCAGTGGAAATGAAGAGGTCTACCCTCAATTCCCAGAAAAACCTTAAAACTTTTAGATTCCTTGTAGACTCACTTATCTCTCTTTGACATCTTTCCTCCCCGTCCCCAAAAAGAACCTGGCTTCAGTTTTGTTTACCAGTCCCAGGAAACCCTTAAAGTTTTAGAAACTGCCTTATTTCCCTTTGAAAGCAAACTTCCCCTTCCAGCTCCCTTCATTATCTATTCTCATTGTCTGTTCAAATCACTCAGACATTCCAAATGGAAATTTTCACCTGGACCCTTTTCCAAATGGTCCACTGCCCCCATCAACTGGCTTTCCCATTGTTTTGCCTTCCTGGCCATTCCCACCCTTAATCCTAGCTAGGCCCAGTGTTCCTTTCGCCCCAGCTTGCTGGCCACCCACATCCAGATCTCCCTGGACCCCTCCTCCCCTCACCCCAAACTGCTTGGCCACTCCTTGGATCCCTCCTCTCTTCGCTCCAAACTGCATGGCCCTTCCCTCAGTCTGTACTTAAGGCTCACCTTTCCCCCATTCTGTTGCTGAGCTGTTCTCAAGCCTAGAAGCTGAGACCCCTCACGCCCGCCCATCCTAACGGGTGTCATGTAGCCTATCCACCCCAGCCCCGACTCAGATGCTGGGAATTTCTCATGCCCCTAGAGGATGAGACCCCATGCCCACCCGTTATGGGTGTCACCTGGCCTGACCACCTTAGCCCCAGCCCCCACTCAGACGCTGAGCTTTCTAGACTGCCTCACACTGCTCTTCCTTGTGAGCGTAACCTGACCACCTTAAACCCCATGTAGATCACTGATGTTTGGGTTCCTTTGGAGTCTGGCCTGTACGCTTATCTTTAATAAACTTTTTTCTCTGGCTAGAAGAAGATCTGAGTTGAATTCATTTAGGCAGATCAGTGCCGCGATTTGGGCTTTTTCCCATGATCTTCGGGTGCCTCTGTGCATCTAAGAGCACCCCAAACCCCCCCCCCCTTCAGATAGAGCACAGGACCTGAGTTCAAATCCGGTCTTAGACCAAACACTTGACACTAGCTGTGTGACCCTGGGCAAGTCACTTAACCCCAATTGCCTTAAAAAAAATGCTTGTCAAGTATATAATAAATCCTAAATATAACTTTAAAAGTTATTCTACTTATATATAATCTCTTCTAATTCCCCTTATGTTTTCTTCTCTTTTTTTGGTAAGATGGGGGAAAACTATCCTTAATATTCCTCTCCCTCTTCCTTCCTCCCAATTGAAAAAAAAAAAACCTTTGTAACAAAATTTCATAATCAATCAAAACAAATGCCTGCATCAGCCATGCCCCCAGATATGACTCATTCTGCTCTTAAGTCCTGCCTAAAGGCAGGTAGAACTTGTCCCCATTGGTATTCTGGAATCACGATTACTTATTTCATTTATCAGAGCCCTTAATCCTTTCAAAGCTGTTTGTCTTTACAATACTGTTGTTACTGTGTTTCTAAAACCCCCTTGGAAGATGCCCTGGAAAACAGCCTTGTGCTATATGCTGCATAGCAGGAGGGAGACATGACTCAGATTGGCTGGGAGAATGCTGAGTGTGATGCAGAGTACCTGCCGTAAGGGATTTGATTTGCTTGCCGACATACTTCAAGAAAAGCCCTCCAGGGAAGGAGGGGGAGAGGGAAACAAAATGAGAAAGAGGGAGAGAGGGAGGGAGGAGCAGACAGAGACAAAGAAACAGAAAGGGGAGGAAGGAAAGTAGATGGAGGGAGGGAGGGAAGAGGGAGGAACAGACAGAGACAGAGAGAGAGAAGGAGAGTGGGGAGAGGGAGAAAGAGAGAATTTTGAATGGTGCAAATTTTTGAATGATAGACTAGAGCCATCAAAGCTGTAGGCTTATAAGCAAAGATAGTTGTTGGTAAGCTACATGTGAGATCCTTGGCAAAGCACCAAGGAGTGACATACTGCCAGAGGAACTGAATCATATTCATCTTGACAATCTTGTGATAAATGAAACCAAAAGGCAAAATGCATTGTAGCTAAATGGAAGGACACCTCTCCTTGGAGAGGCAAAGAGAGGAGTTGGTTTTACCATGTGTTCAAAGGCAACATGATATTCACCCAGACCAGTCTCAGACTGGCTGCCTTGTTGAGATGATTAGATTGCTAAACAAAACAAAACAAAACAAGAAAACAACCCTGAACTTTGTAGTCTTGTCCTAGCCCAAGAGCAGATGGAAGTATCCTATGGTGTGGTTTGGACTGGCTTGGGTTATACCAGCTTGGTAAGTTTTTAAACTAGTCTGCAAAAAGGGAGAGATTGGAGGCACCTAACAATTTAAAAGACTCTCCAGGCTGGCTTAACCCTACCCAAGTCCAAATCACAGCAGAGGATAGTTCCATTTCTTCCCAGGATGCGAGACTACAAAACTCTGGGTCTTCAGCAATGTCTCCCCCTCCATAAGGTGACTATTACAACAGCAAGAGACATCATTTGTTCGTTGTTCATTTGTTTTGGTTATATCTGACTCTTCGTGATCCCATTTGGGGTTTTCTTGTAGAGATACTGGAGTGGTTGGCCATTTCCTTCTCCAGATCATTTTGCAGATGAGGAAACTGAGGCAAACAAGGTGAAGTGACTTGTCCAGGGTCACACAGCTAGTAAGTGTCTGAGGCTGGATTTG